CCAATTGGAGGAGCAGTTCGATTGGCATCAAACATATTTGAAGCTAAAGGCTAGAGCCTGCCCGGGAAGGGCATGTTTGCAGCACATATGAAGGGTCGAGTCTTCCTTGCGGATCAAACGGACAGAAGCCGCTTTCACTTATCAAAGTGGTCGGGGTCCAAATTATTTACGCCTTAAGCTCCAAAGCCGATTTGTCCACCCACTGGCCCCGATCTAGCGGCACAGTTCGCATTCGCATTCCCATTTCCATTTCCTCGCACCCTTGGGCGCTGCAGTTGCTCACATATGAGTTTGAGATATGCAAAACATTCGACTTTTCAATAATGTGGGACACCGGTCGCAGGTCGCAGGTCGCAGGTTGCAGCTCCGACAGCGTCCCCTGAGGAATTCCCTTGTTGACGGAAGTGTCGGTGCCACTTAAGGCAACGCTGGCGCCGGAATTCAGGCGAAAGGAGGCTGCAAGCCGCCTCCTCTCCCTCTGCTCCCTCAACTGCAGTGTCAGCTTGCAGCAGTTGAGCAACAACAAGGCAAAGGGCAAGTGGCACAGAAAGGACAAGTGTCAAAAGTGTTTACGCAACCAGAGCCGTCATGTCCATGCCGTTTGTCTCACTTATTAATTGTATTTCGATAATAATTTCATGCTCGTTAACGATTCCCTGTGTACGGATGGCCCGGAACCGGCCCGTATTAGTTACACGACCCGCTCTCCCAGTCGTTAAATAGTCGCTAATTAGACGCACATGTGTAACACAAAACCGCATTTAAGCGTTACTCTAGCAGCAACGGCCAAAGGACTCAGACCCAGACCCAGACCCAGGGCCAGGACCTGTGTGTGTGACTGTGTGCGTGTGAGCATCGAGGGCAGGGGCCCGGCACGTTGTAGTTGATCCGCCACCGACGCGACATTCGACGAGTTCCGGCGAAGCACTAAAACTGTCCCAATTGTAACGAAATTATACACTTGAACTTCTTAACTTTGCCCCAGGGTCGTGCACCCAATAACTGTGCGTGTCTCTCTCTCTCTCTCTCTCTCTGTGTGTGTGCCGCGTGGTTTGCTGCTTTTTATGAATGTGTGCGTGCAAGTGTTTGGTGTCTTTGGTGTCTGCACTTGGCTGGGTTGCTGCTCGGCTGCAGCTGGGGTCGCAGGGCTGCTCAGGTCACATGCATAAATCTTTCAAAGCGCTTACCAAATATTTTGATGGATATTTGTATATAAATGACACCAACTGTAAGCAGCTTAGCGTAGCTATGCATATCAGCACTTGCTCTGATTATATATAAACACAACTCTATCGAATTCATATCTTAAATATTCTATATCATTCAAGTGAAGGACTCGAGTGCATATCCCCAATAGCCATTATATTAAAAGCTCTGCCCGACTGGCAAATACCCGAAGCTGGCACATGATGTGCATAATATAAAAGACTTTGATTATTTTCTTAACAGCAGAAATATAAATTTGAAACTATTTGTGTTATGCCTAATCATACAATATTATATTTAATCATTCTTTATGTTTTTTTTTTAACTTCAAATTTAACAAAACAATTCAAATTTAACAAAAGTTCGATTAAGTAAAATCTAAATTTTTACTTAATGGAATTTTTGTTAAATTTGAATTGTTTTTAGTTGAATGTTTTCTATTCAAAAATATTATGAAAATAATTTATTTAAATAATATATTTTGTGTATCTTTTTCCACCTCTTTTACACTTAAATTAAAATTAAAATTAAATGTATATCTCATAGACTTCCAAAGTAATACGAAATAAAGTGTTTCATATAAATACAAATAAAATAAAATCATTTATTTTTCAAATAATTTTTATATTTTTGTATGAACTATTTTATTCTTAGTTTGAGCTAGCAGAAATCTTAGTTAACATTTCAATCTTTCTGATTAAATATTTTTAAGCCAAAAATAATACCGATTTAACTGGCGCTGAAGCAAATATATTTATACAATGCTATATAAAAAAAATGTGAATACTTTTGAAATATTGAAACGAGCTTAAATTCATTTTAAATAATTTGTAATCAAATCAGTCAAGTCAGCCCACAGCATCTACGATTAAGTGAAGTTGAAGCTGCAAAAATTTATTCTATTCCAATATTCTATTCAGATATTTTTTTGTTATTCCCTCTGTTAGAATCCGAGCAGCTGGCTCCAAAATCGTGGTCCACTGCCAAATGGAGCAATCACAATTGCAAATCCAACCCTCTGAGGGCAGCGTTGTCTTCGTATTTTTATAAAAATAAATTTCAATACTAACTGAATGAGCCACGAGGACATTGACGTTGGCAATGATACGGTTGTTGGCGTGATTGTTGTTGCCATTGTTGCCGTTGTTTATTCCACTCATCGCCATTCGCTGCTCGCGTCTCTGGTCATCTCAGCATTTGCACGGCTCATTTGAGTACAAGTTGCTCTTTATTTATTTATTTTATTGCGGCCTCATTCGCGTTATGAACTCAATGGTCTGTGGACGTTATTTTCATAATTGCACTCTACAACAGTATCGACGGCAGCGAACAACACACCCGCCCCCAATACACATGTCCACACAACCGCCCGACCACCCAACCACCCACATCTACACCCCTAGTTAAACAGCTTCTTGCTTATTGTTGTTTCTTTTGCGATTGTTGTTGTTGCTGTTGCTGTTGGGCCTTTCATTACTCGCATTCCATTGATTTTGATGGTCTTTTGTAATAAAGTTTTGTATTGTAACTTTTTATATGCTTTCCTTCGCTTCGGCCAATAACCAAGATATTATCGCCAGACGCCGAGCAAAGAGACAGAGAAAGTATTATATAAAAAAGACAGTTCGTAGCAATCGGGGCATTCCCATGGACCGACCATTGATAGGTGATAAGCGACCGGAAGACATGTTGTCTGGAGAGCGCAGAGGACTGGCTGCTGGATAATCCGAGGCTAAGCTTACACAAATGTTGTGGCCTAATTTATCTTGAGTGGATCAATTCAGCAATAACAAAAACAAAACAGGAACAAAACAAGATCGATTTGATGATCGATTGAGCTGCTGGCTCAGCTCAGTTCAGAGAGGATCAGATGACGTGCCAGATTCCAGGTTTTTGTTGCCCATTGTGGCCGGGTGTGCTTTTGTTTGTCCACTGGCCATTGGATATGCTATCCATTTTCGAGGGGATTAAGACAAGTGCTGAGCCGGCCCACAGTTGGTTGCACAATGCCCAGTTGCAGTGGCAGTTGCAAGTGCATATGCCAAAACAAAGGGCATGCACGATCGACCTGCGATAAAGGGCTCAGGTCTCTCGTCCGTTTACCGACAGCCAGTCTACCGCGCATCCTCATGCCCATGCCCATGCTCATGCTCATGTATGGCTCATATTAAGCCTAAGTGCGGATTAGCCAAATGCTAATAGGTTTGCTAATGTGAAAGCACCGGCCACACATGCGGGGCCAGTTCGAGCCGGGCTTAAGGCTCTCGCACAATGATCGCGGCCAAGGTCCAGTGGCTTTTATTGTATGCCGCCCTTTCAAGAACGCAACTCCATTGTTCCATAAATTGCCAAACAATGCTGGCCATAGCGCCGGCGCTGCTCTTGCCAGTTTAAGACTTTGTTGCAGGCTCAGCTCTGTCTGAGCAAATAATTCTACAAGAAACAATTATGCTATTGTAATAATAATTGTAAGAAAACCAACTTAAATATGTGGCAAAGTTTTTATTACAATTTTTATTTTTTACTATTTTTAAACTATTTAAAAGTTCGAGTTGAGTTCGTTTTTATAATGAAAAACAAATTATATAAAAGTTGTAAGCATTGCAATTCAAAGATAAAATGTTAATTTTGTTTCTATTAAAATCATTAATTTCTATTCATACTAATTAAAATGATGTCTAAGCAAGCAAAAGTTTATTTTGTTTCAAATATTTCAAAATAAATATCAATTAAATTATTGATGAACTGCGCCTGAAGGCAAATCTTGGTGTTAACTACAAAAAGTCGCTTGCATATATTGATGCATCTATTTACAGCTAGTTGCCTGATCTTACTTTATATAGTTCTATATATATATAGGAAAAATGCATAAAAAACCCATTGCATAGCGGGGCTATGGCCAGGCTGAGTTATGGCTCAGTTAGCAGGAGAGAGCATAGAAATGTTACATTTTTTGTACAGGAAACGACATCAACGCGCGCTCTTTCCTCTGTGACTAAAGTGGCGTTTGTGTTTTTAAGCCAAAGCCAAGCGCATTTTAGTTAGTATTTGGGCACCCCCGGAACCCATTGGAAGTAGCTATCAAGGGTATAAGGTGCTCATGCAATATAAGCAACAGGCAGACAAAGGCGGCTAAAGGGTATGATGTGTTATAGATATATATGGCTTAGAATATATTTAGATATAAACGGCTTTAATCAAATTAGTTATGAGACAGTTTGACAGTTGCTACAGCTGCCCAGCCAAAGCCACCTCATATAATTACCTATTCTATCTAGTTGAAATTTGAGTCTATGAGGGCTTATGTAGCTCTGATAGAAAGTTTCACTTCAAAAATATGTAGAGAGAGAGAGAGAGTGAGGGAGAGAGAGAGAGAGATTCGTTAGGGTATTTACCAGGCGAGCACAGCCGAGTCGAGCACGCCTGATATATTTAGATTTTGTTGGTGCCTGGACACTGTCTAGTGCTTGGTGCACATTTTTATGGACCGGAATCTAGACGGGGCGGGCGGCACTAGGTTTCTAATCAGTGCAGCTTCCGTTTGCCGGGCCGTCAGTCAACACTGCGCGATATTTGTCAACAAGCGGAACTATAAATATGCATGAAGCTTTTTTTTCACCAGAAAACAAATTCGAGAAGGCAGACCGGCAGGCAGGCTGGCAGACAGGCGGGCAGGCGGACAGGGCTGGGCAGAATGTCAGCCCTGGCTGGCCAGTGGCTGTCGCAAACGAGCAGGCTTTGAAATTGCACTCAGGCAATATGTCAGAGAGTGAGCCCAGGGTAAACTCGTCTGTCGAGCATTTCATTTCATTCCTACTTTTTTTCTGGCACTACATCAATTTTTCGGACTAAGGGAAAATAACAAAAATCAACTTGGAAAAACAGTAGTAAATTGTGAACTGCAATAGAAAAGTGAATTAAACACATTGAACTAACTAGGCAGATACATCGACTGCACTAAATTTTGAAGTGGCAGCCTCCCGTAGTTGGAGTCCCTAGTAGTATCCTGATACCGATACAGAGGATGTTGCGTCAACTTCAATTGAGAGCCCCTATCAAGGGACTGCAGCTGAAACGCTCGTTGACCTACAGTGAGTAGAGCGGATTGCTTCCGTCTTCCTATCGCACTATTCTGATAATGTGATATGAAATTGATGTGCTCGTTTGTGCATTCTCTTCAGATTCCAAGCAGTTACAGCCATTTGCTTCGGTTGAGTTGGTTAAAAAGGAGCCGCATATCAAATTGCAACTAACGCCAGGACGCTACGTATCCCAGCTAATCGATAAGATTGCCCCAAAGATGGTACAGTGCAGCAATAACTTGCCATTGGGTTACTCCAACATGCACATGGAGCTGCCGATCTATGAGAATCGAACAAACATTAGGCAATACAGCGTTTGCTTAAATCCGCTGGAGCAGTTGCAGATAGAACAGGGCAAGATAAACCGTAACAGCAATGTGCCAATTGGCTATACAGATATGGCGGTGGATCAGCCAAGCAATACAGCCGTTGTTACCGTCGAGCACTCGCCAGCTGAGCAAAGCATGAAAAACGTTGGCGTCGCAAAGCCGCCGCCGCAGCCCAAGGCGCCGGAGCAGCCGGCACGGAAGATCCCACATTACAATCCACTTAGACGTCGCAGTAATGTCGATCCGGCGCGTGTCCAATATATAAAGGATAGATTTAAAGAGCGAAGCATGGAGACTGACACCAATAAACCGCAGGGTAAAAAGTTTATCTCGCGTACCACGCTGCATTCTGGTCGCTTGGACAAGATTGATTAGATAGCTCTCCATGAAGTCTCCCCGATTTTCCCGATTTTAGTTATACACGACAAGTCGAGTGTAGAACAGCATTCACCTTATGTTTTCAGGAATTTGACTTAAATATATTTGTTTGCCTATTGGCCAATTAGACTCGCACGAAAGTGATCTGTTCCATCGCTATTGCTAATATACTTTTTTATGGTTTCTATAAATACGTCGCATGACAGCTTTTTTGCCTCTATACCCCAAGACTTTTTAACTGGCAACAGCGACCCTCTACTAGGGTATAGAAACAACATAATAATCGGCCTCATCTTTAACTTGTTTAGCTGACCAATGCTGCTTGCCTCGTGCCCAGCTGGCAGCTGAAGTTTCTGATGGCCACGATAAGCCAGCTGAAACTGGTACAACAAATTCCAATTTGTTGGCGGAAGCGTTTAGTAAATCATTAAACTTGACCACGAGTTGAAATGCTCCTCCTAGTTAGCCCCGGCAGCGCTTCAACTAGCTCTCAGAGATTCTCTTAGATCTTCGATTTTGATGTGTTGTGGGGCGAGCTGTTGCCATATCTCAAGTACTTGTTGAGTACATGCCCAAAGTGTATGTGTTTCGTTGCTGTTGTTGTTGTTGTTGGTTCCACTTTGATCCATGTACCTGCCTCTGTCCAGTGCTGGGTTTTTTTCTTTTCTGTGTCGCTGTCTGTTGTCGAGTCTATTCAACTGATTCAACTAAGTGTTCCGCTTTCAGCTCGGTTTGATGTGCACAGCTACTTGTGCAGCTTTTTGCCGGTTACTTCTCATTGAGCTCGTAAAATCGCTATCCAGCTACCAACTTGACTCGGATCCATATCAACATTGCCCATGTAAGTGGAGATAAGAATAGGAGCGGGAGCGCAAATCGGTGCGCATACAAATCACACTAAACCGAATACGTCCAGGCAGCAGTAGCTTTGCCCCATCAGCAGCAACAACAACAACAACGACTACTGCAAGGAGTCAACTTCTGAGTTTCCCTTGAGTGCGCCCAACAGCAGCCGGCTCAATATCACAAAAAGTACCCGCAAAAAATCACATGGCAGGGCGCACGTGGGCATGGTTAGGGGGCGAGAGACAGACAGGCAGGGCAGAAGCACGAGCAGAGCAAGCTAAAAAAGCAAAAGGAAAAACTCAAAAAACACCAGAAGCAACAGCAACAACAACGAGCATATAAAAACAGCTGAACAAAAGCTGACTGACTACAAAACCAAGTCGAAACGAACGCGCGGTATCGACATCGGCACGCTTGGCGCTTGAGAGAGTTTTCGGCTCGGCTGGTTCGGGTTGGTGTTGGTGGCTGGTTGCGATTGACTTTGACTCCTGCTGCTATATATATCCTGTTTGTGCAGAGATTTAGCTTTGAGCTATGGATATCGTCGGCACTGCTTTGTATACTGCCATCGAAGCTCATCGATTCAGTCGTCGCCGAACCGAGCAGCAAGCCATGTGCCAAGAGACAGGCATGAGGCATCAGGCAGCAGGCATCAGGCATCAGGCATCAGGCATCAGGCATAAGGCATTGGGGGGCACGAGCCATTGGGCCATTGAGGCATTGAGTTATTGAGGCATTGGCATTCGGTTTGAGACTGGCCTGGGCCCCGCTTTCGAGTGTCGATGTCGATGTCGGTGCCGGTGCCGGTGTCGGTGTCGTGCAGCAAGTTGTACATGCTGTCAGTGCAGCTTTTTGTTGCCGTTTTTTAATTACATCCTCAACGAGGGGTGCATCAAGCATACGCCGTGTATGACGCGCCTTTGGCAATCGAGCAAAATAAAGAACAAAGGCACACAAACAAAAATACAAAAGTTAACATACCATGACTACAAGTTATACCCACACGTCTAGCAGCTCGCACAGGGTATGCACACGCCTCCCCTTCAGCTCTACTAAATTGCTTCTATTTGCATATTTTGTGTCTTATCTGCAATGACTCGTTAGTCGCTTGAGCTGGAAAGTTTCAGCAGGCGGCGCAAGGTCACCTGTAGCGGTGGCTGCCCACTCCTTGGCCAACAGCAGCGTTGTCTCCCTCAGACGTCGTGCCTGACGTGGCGCGTCTCTAGTTTATTGTAAAATTGTAAAATTCCAATAAATGCAGTTGGAGTCGACGCGTGAGTCGTCTTGCAGGCCTAGCAAAAGGTAAGCCAAAAAAATTGCGCCACCTTCAAAGCGAATATCGAAAAATTGGCCACGCGACATCGGTAGGAGTTGCTAAAATACAAATGATTCAAACTTGCGGCCAGCCCAACTGCATCTAGGCGCTATAATCTTAGAGTCACATTGAATAGAGCTCATATAAAAAAACTGATCTAACATGAACTGATCAAAACAGCAATCTTATCAAACATCGTTCGTTGATGAGCTCAGCTGAATCCTTGCCATTTCCTGTTTTACGATCTTGTTTATGTAATCTCTGTCATTTAAAGTGGCTCTGCGATGCAGCGCATTGAACTGTTTGAGCTGACTGAAAGCGAGTCAACAAATCCACTTGACCAGGCCAAACAAATTGACTATTGGCACCCAGGCACTCAGCTCAATTGTTCAAGGGATTGCGACGGAGACTGCGACTGGCGCAGCCAAGGCCATTATCGTCATCGTCATCATCATAGATTGGGTCGACCAAGGCGGTCATGGCAAGGAGGGGGCGGGCAGGTAACGGTAACGATGCGGCGCAGAGCAGTTGCTGCCGTTGCTGTAACGGCATCCTTTGCATCCTCTGCTGCTGCTGCCATTGGTACTTTGGGGATTTTGTGCAGATTTACATGCAAACAATCAAGATATGCCGGGCTTTCAAGCGACGCTATGCTGGGACCTGAATCTGAGCCAGGAGCCCGGGCCCAACACCCCCGCCCACGGCCCGGTAGCGCCCGCTCAGGTATCTCAAGCTGACAGTGAAGGTTGAATCAGTGATAGCAAAGGGATTGGCGGTCTGTGACCCGCACTTCACTGCCAATAGATACACACACACACACACACACGCATAGTTGATTGGAACAGGTGCAGTGGCAATGCCAAGTTTGTTTGCTTTACGCAGTTCTTTACCTTTGATTTGTCATCGTTTCATATATAAAAATACATATATATATATATATATATATATATATATATATATATATATATGTGTGTGTGTGTGTGTGTCTCCTTGTGTGATTTGCATGTTATTCGCAATGTTTATTGAATAAATATCTACACATGTTCCGCAGACTCCACAGCTGGTAATCCCCAACTCTAGCTCAATCAGAGTCAGTTTTTTCTGCTGCTTGCCATTTGTTTCACGTTATTGGCTTAATTCAATTGATGCTGAATGTTTTGCTTTTGGCTTTGCAATTTACTTTTTGCTTAACTCCTTCACACTCACACGCACTCGCACGCCCACTTGCCCTTCCACTGCCTCGCCCTCTCCTGCTGTGCCTTTGTTGTTGTTTTAGTTCAGGTTCACGTTGGCCTTGTGCATGTTTAAGGCGCGTTAATTATTTAATGCCTGTCACCCAGTGGCTAACACTCTGTGTTAAATGCAAATTGGCATTCTCACTGGACAGCGACAGCAAGCGCAAGGACAATAACAAGGATATCACACACAACACACTCGCACACACACACACAGTCCAGTTAACCCGTGTGACACATACAATACGAGCAGCAGGATAACACCGCGACATCAGCGCAGCACATCTGTAAAACTGACTATTAAAAAAGCAAACAGCCAAAGAAAAAAAGGGAAAAGGGCGAGAAAAACGTAACACATCAACAATGGCAACAACAACAACAACAACAGCAGCAGCAGCAGCAACAACTGACAGTCGAATAAAGCGTGGCCCAAAGTATCCCTTTTGGTAAGCAGGCATCCAGCTTGCCCAGACAAACTATACCACTGACCCGACTCAACAGCCCCACCCCTCCACACACACACACACACACACACACACACACATGCACGTGTAATCATAGCTGCTTTAACTGCGCATCAGGGTTGCATCTCATTGCGGCTAAGCGCATGAACTCCAAAGGCTGGGCACTGGGGGCTGGGGGTGCCTGCTGTGGGGGTTGCGGTTTCTTGGCTTTTGGGGTAAGGTCATAGTGCGCATGACAAGGCCTCTTTAAGCAAGGGGTAGTTGCCAGTCGCAATTAGACTACAATTTAAGTCTATTACAATTCTATTTTTTAATGCGTTCTCCAATTATGTTACAAATTACATTTTTTCAATTTTCGAGCAGCAAAAAAATGTTTGGCCTGCAGAGCTACTTTTATTTTGCAATTATATTAAAATTATATATATATAAAATATGTATAAACAAACTTTAATATACAATACAATTAAATTAACTTTTTTTAAATGCAAGCATTAAAAACACATTTTATATTTACTTGTTAAAAATTTACAATAAAACTAAAAATAAAATTTTTTTTGTTGTTTCACAACTTTGAGTTGGCAACACACCTTTGTTTGCTAACTTATGTAAAAGCTGATGATGGTTTTTGGTTGAGTTTGTCTTGACATTTTATTTAAAATAGATTTGTACTTGAGTAACACTTGCAATTTGTTGAAATGTTTACCATACTTTAATGCTGTTCGTCAAATTTATCGTGCACTTTGTACATTTCATGGACTTCATAATGATAAAGACCATTTGGCATTTGCTTGTATGGGTACGTAAACAAAGTAGAAATAGGTTTTTCGCGAGGAAAATCTACAAGTCTTAAGCGAAACACCATTAGATCCACGGAACATAACTGTTTGCGGCCTGGCGGAGTCACTAGTTTAAATAAACTCTAACAAGACGATGATCATGATTGTGATGATTTAAAAAATTAATCTGTTTGGCAACTATTAAATTAAAATCATATTTTAATAATAATGTCGTACAATTTTCTAACTAATAAAACTCACTTTATTGATATTAAAAGTATATTTTTGTACCTTATAATAGTATAAATTTGTGTTAGACTAAAATAAACTAGTCCAATTCAGAGAGAAATTAAAAATAAAAATACTTTAATGTAAATAGATGCTGATTGTACTTTAATTAATTATACTTTTCATTTTCAACAATATTTGTGTGACTAGTACTTTTATATATATATATATGTATATGTGTATATATATATACATGTGCGTCAGGCCAATCTAAAAAGAATAGTATTTAC